ACAATCTAGAAACTACAACTTATATAAATTTTGTTCTTTGTTTTAAAATATAGGAGAAAAACAAAAATAAATTAAAATTAAAATAAAAAAATGCAGCAGCAGCCTACCTTGCAAAGAAGAGGAAGAAAACATAAACACGATGAAACCAAAGACAAGTAGAATAAGAAAAGGGCTTAGCAATATACGTTTTGATCAGTCTGTGCATTAATCAAGATTTCAGGATAGTTCTGTTTGGTTTGGTTTGATGTCTATGGTAGGAGAAATAAAAAAGTTTCATGGTTTAAATGAACCTCTGCCCAAACTTCTATGGAAGATTTTCCCTCACCTAACATCTGACTCAGGTGCATCACACTGACATTTACTGACAAATCACCTAGCCATGGGCACAGAATACAAGGCTAGCACAACAGAATTAGGCTGTCACATGATCCTAGACCTGCCACTCCCCCAACAGCAGGAAATCCTAGAAGCACACACCTCCAAAATAGAATAGAAACCCCAAACTTTCTAAGTTGCAGCATCAAAAGGAACACACAGTATCACTAGTGTAATCATCACTCCCCTTCCTACTGCTTTCTCAATTATATTTACTAACAAAGTAACAAAAGGACTTCTAAAAATCAAAATCAATCAAGGGCAGTGATGGAGACAAGAATCCAATCAAAAATAAAAATTCTGGGACCCTGATTGGGGGAGTCAACTCTCTTTTTTTTTGTTTGTTTGTTGAAGATTTTATTTATTTATTTTCAGAGAGAGAGGAAGGGAGGGAGAGGAACTTCAATGTGTGGCTGCCTCTCACACGCCCCCTTACTAGAGACCTGGCCTGCAACCCAGGCATGTGCCCTGACTGGTAATTGATCTGGCAACCTTTTGGTTTGCAGGCTGGCACTCAGTCAATTGAGCCACACCAGCCAGGGCGTGTCTTCTTTTTAAAGGCTTTTAACAGAAAAGATTCCCAGCAACACAGATGTACTGTACTTATTTACACAGTGGTCCCTTGTGACTGTAACAAGACTCTAGGAGTCTAGAATTCTGAATGCTCTCAGAACCTCTGGCTCTACCCGGGACTATCAACTTCCCTTTAGCTCACCTCCAACATGATGGATTGGTGAAACCATTAATCTATCATATAATCTGACATATTCTATCTGCCTCTGTCAGGTTCTATTTCCTTCAAAGATAACAAGCTAATATTAAGCACCAAACCCCAGTAATTTTTTGCTTTTAAATAACAAACCAAAAAATTAAAAGAAATTACGTTTGTCTTTAAATGCACGCATGTTTGAAAGCAGTGAACAACCATCATCTTTCCATCCTCCTTAAAAAAAGAAAGGCTAGTAAAACCCACTTGCTCTACTTATAGGTCTTGATACTATATAGGCACAATTAAGAGGCTGCCAACTAAGAATCCCAAAAGGTTCTTAGTAAGTCATGTACTCACATCCATAAAATTGAGGGCCTCCACCCTAAAAACTATGACTTTCTGATGAATGAGAGGGTATCTTCCAAATAGCGATCAAGACTGGCAGCAACAAGTTTTATTTGAACATACTTCCCCAGAGCACCTCAGTATACCTCTGGCGCTGGGGTATGACAATTTTAAAACTTGGGCACAATTAACTAAACATATGGCCTTTTAGTACAAAACAAAATTAAGCCCTGCCTCTACACCACACACACACACACACACACACACACACACACACACACACACACGGAAATTCCATGTAAACTTCTATACCCGGGCTCCTCCAAGTGGGGAAATAATTCTCCCCCTAATCAGCAAGATACGTTAAAAGCAAACTTTCAGGTAGAGGAATGCAGTTAACTACAGCATCTAAGTTCTGCTGTTTGACTCACATAATCTACTTAAGCCCATTTACAGAGGAAAGAGATGGTGGGGTTAGATATTATTGCTCCTTTGATTCCGATAGTACCCTCCATAAGTAGTAATTCGGCTACTTTAAGTCAAAGACATATGTATCCTGTTCTAAAACGAAACCAAAAAAAGTTTTATTCAGAAAAACCATGGGCTTCTGTTCAGTCCTCTTAGCTAAAGAAAGATAAAGACCAAAAAATGATACAGAATTCCATCAACAGGAACTGTGTGCTCCAACAATTTTAAGACAAACACCATTATCTTCTTTGGTTCCGCTGCCCAGACCTATTGAACCCAAAAAGAAGCCAAGTGAGCAAGATGGCTGGTGACCTAAAAGGAACTGTGCATTCTGGGTACTGTGATACTGCATTACTGCCCTCTATTCCAAATGCAATAAAAATAATTACTTTTTACTGCACTGGTGCTTCTCTGGGCAACTTTTCTTGCCCACAAATCTGGTATAATGGTAGTGGGAAAATATAATTTAAGCATTTCCTATTTGTTAGTATATAAGAAGTAGGCCAAGTGACCTAAAGAACAGAAAAGAACTAAGAGTTAAAAAAGGAGATGCCTTTCCTTCTACATTTTCACATACAACTCATTCCTAATTGTGGTTGCTCTAATCCAATTGACTCTAATGCTTTTCTGCGCAAGGAACTAAAGTGGTTACTTCAGGGAAGAATTAATCTAGATCCTCCTGCCTGGCAAAGGTTTTGGGGGACTTTTTCCCCCCTTCCCATCAGAGGGTGGCTGACTTCAATGAGGGCATTTACAGTACCCCAAGGGCTTCTATCCCTTTAAAAAGGAAAGAAAAAAAGAAACCTTTATCAGATTTCCCCCTTGGAAATTTTGGAAGCAAGTTCCTGTAGAGCAGTAACTCTGAAATCTAGGGTAGCAAACCCTCTAATAATCTGATTAAACCTTATTCACAGAATAATGTACAAGCAACAAAATTCCACAAGCCAGTCTGTGGAGCCATGTTAAGAGCGTCTAGCCTATAGAGAGACAGACTATGGAAAGGCTCAAGGTCAGTAGCAGGAGCAGCATCCTTGAAGTCTTAAACAGGACCCCTCCCTCACTTTCTTAACCAGAAAAGGAAAATGATGGGAGTACTAAGGCAGGCTCATCCCTGAGAACAGGTAACTTTGGTTTGGGGACTTCTCTTTGGCCTGGGGAAAGTCTTAGAACTGTGCTGCACAGTCTAAGACCCTGCCTGTCAATCTCCTTTCCCCTCTGCTTTCAGAGGTGTCAGACCTACCCTGTGGTCTGAAGACTCTACCAGCGCTTACAGTATCCCGCTGTCTTCTCTCTTCCTTAATACTTCCCAGGCATCTTCCTTAATAAAACTAACTACTTCTAATCCCATCTTGGAGTCTGCTTCTAGAAAGACTCCAACTATACACCTACAGTGGCTGCCATTTTCACAGCATCTTTACACAGTGCCCTGAGAAAGAGATCTTGAATCCTTCCAGTCCTCACTCCAGTACCACACTCCAACACAGAATCTATACCCCTTAAGACAATGACTTCTTAGACTTGCCCAGTAGGATTAAGGCCATGGAAGCCAATAGGCCAATGATGTTTCACATGTATCATGGGTAGTTTTGAAATTTCTGCCTTCAGGTGTGATATAAGATCCTTTATAACAGATAAAGGCCAATGTAAGAGAAACTGGCACAGAAGGTAATATCATTAAGGTGTATAAGAGGTGTTACCTTCGTCAGGCCTAAAAACATGCCCGACTCATGCTAGAAATGTCTTTCACGCTTACAGGACACTCAACCTGGAGCTGTACAGCCCTGGCCAGGTGCCTCACTTGACTGGAGCATCATCCCTACACCAAAAGGTTGCGGTTTTGATCCCTGGTCCAGGCACGTACAGGAGGCAACCAATCAATGTTTCCTCTCACATCGAGGTCCCTCTCTTTGTCTTTCTCTCTCCCTTCCTCTCTCTCTAAAATCAATGAACATATCCTCAGGTGAGGATTGAAAGAAAAATTAAACACGGAACTTCATATTCATAACCAAGCTCTGAAAAATGATGAAACTACTCAACAGGGAGAAGACAGAGTTAAGTCAAGTAAAAACAGCTAAAGCAAAATCATATTCCAAAGTTTAAGAGACCTTTTGTATTCACTACACAAAGGCCAATGACAGTATGAGACTCAGAGTCAGTTCTTAAGTGTGCCAGTAAGAGCTAGTAAGTGTGCAAATAAATGTTCTATTATTTGAGTGCCACAACTCCCAATTCCAGAATCATCTGAGGCTTGCAGCTGAAGGAGGAGGTGAGATTTTGAGGTAAATACAAGGGATCATGTTAGAATCCAGCCATGCTGTTATCACTTGTCCTAAACCATGCAGTATTAGATGACCTATGTTTTTTTCTCCTGTGATAAAATATTACTATAAAATAGGACAGAGAAGGAGAAATCTTTTAAATTAGAGTTCCTCTGAAATTCTCAAGGAGAAAAATAAACAAACGCTTTGCAAGCTTTCCCCCTCTTTATTCTTAGTCTGTGATGTTAAGCTCTTAACGACAAAGAAGCCAAATCCACTTATCTAGTTTACCGACACACTGAATGCAAATTGCAGTCATACTTCCATTTTAACAAAGCATGACAATGAGGTGATTGAGTAGCTTCCCAAACTACCAGAGCAGAGGGCACTAACTTGCATCGGCTGATGTTAGATCAGCACTTCATAAATTGTGCTCCTGATCATTTAGATGGTCTTTCTATGCAGAATCGGCGGTCTAGCACTGGCTCTCACAAGCATTAAAAATCATCTCTGCTAACCCAACTCACGGCTCAGACGGGTCTTCCTGAATGCAGCCTTTATTACAACCTCACTGCTGCTTCCTACACTGAAGGAATACCATGTTTTTAAGCCAGGAGTTCTTTCTTGTTTTATTGTAACTGGGGGTCTTACAACGACCCAAAACTGTTACAAAGCACGGTGCTTTATAACAGTAAAGCTTCTGGAAAACCCAAACAAAAGACACGTCACCCGGTGACGTCAGCCTATATACAGTTCTGTGTGGTCGCAGCACATAAGCAAATCCATTCTTGTGCCATTTCTCGGAAAAGCTTTTCAGTAAATGCACTCATGCTGCTCCAGGAGCTCTTCTCTGCAACAAGCCTCCCATCTGCCATCAACAAGTTAAGACCGAGGGAACTAACAGCTGCGGAAAGGAAAGACTGATGCTTTGATTAACCAGCTGAGCAGTTAGAGGAGGGCGAAATTAATAACTTACATTCAAATGTGATTTAAGGAACCAGAGTGATCACAGAAAATGAAACCAATGCTTTTGAAAGGAATATCTTAAGGGAAAAAAACGACTCACCCTGGTGGATTCAGTTTTACTCAAAAAGCCTGGGACACAGAAAACAGGAAACTGGTCAAAGGCTCCTGCATGTTAGAGCCTTTTACAGACTCACTGCGTTGAGTCTAACAACCGCGACTGAATGCAGCCTCCAATGTGCTCGGAAGAATGGGTAAGTCCATGCATTTATGTGTTTTCTACAGTCAGCAAGGAATCATGCTTTTTAAAATAAACCACTGAATTCACTTGTTTTGAGGGGAATCACTGTCATATTTTTGTATCTTGACGTTTAGTTAAAAGCATATATTGCTGATGACAGGATATGTTTTATCTTCTTAATGGTTTAAGTTTTGTTCCAGTCATACTAACGAGGTTAGCTTTTCTGCAGTAAATGAAAAATGAGTTATATGCAGTGAAATCTTTCACCATAATGTTATGGGTTGTTTTTTTTTTAATGGCTCATATGTTCTGCTGAAAAATATCCTATCTTCTTGTCTTCCTTAAATTATATTCTGCAGGCTTACATTTCAAGTGGCCGTTAGGGGCCCCTATGCTGGCAGCAATTTATGCAATGAGTATGGTTTTAAAAATGCTGCCTGCCCTGGGAATGGCGTGTCCACCCAAATGCCGCTGTGAGAAGCTGCTCTTCTACTGCGACTCTCAGGGCTTCCACTCAGTGCCAAACGCCACAGAAAAGGGCTCCCTGGGCCTGTCCCTGAGGCACAATCACATCACAGAGCTTGAAAGAGATCAATTTGCCAGCTTCAGTCAACTTACCTGGCTCCACTTAGACCACAATCAAATTTCAACAGTAAAAGAAGATGCTTTTCAAGGACTATATAAACTTAAGGAATTAATCTTAAGTTCCAACAAAATATTTTACTTGCCAAACACAACTTTTACTCAACTGATTAACCTGCAAAATTTGGACCTGTCTTTTAATCAGCTGTCATCTCTGCACCCAGAGCTCTTCTATGGCCTTCGGAAGCTGCAGACCTTGCATTTACGGTCCAACTCTCTGCGGACTATCCCAGTACGCCTATTCTGGGACTGTCGTAGTCTGGAGTTTCTAGATTTGAGCACAAACCGTTTGCGAAGTTTGGCTCGTAATGGATTTGCAGGATTAATCAAACTGAGAGAGCTTCACCTAGAGCACAACCAGCTGACAAAGATTAATTTTGCTCATTTCCTACGGCTAAGCAGTCTGCACACACTCTTCTTACAATGGAACAAAATCAGCAACTTGACATGTGGGATGGAATGGACCTGGGGCACTTTAGAAAAGCTAGACCTGACTGGAAATGAAATCAAGGCCATCGACTTGACAGTGTTTGAAACAATGCCTAATCTTAAAATACTCCTAATGGATAACAACAAGTTAAACAGCCTTGATTCCAAGATCTTAAATTCCCTGAGATCCCTCACAACTGTTGGCCTCTCTGGCAATCTGTGGGAATGCAGCCCTAGAATATGTGCTTTGGCCTCCTGGCTGGGCAGTTTCCAAGGTCGGTGGGAACAGTCCATCTTATGCCACAGTCCTGACCACACCCAAGGAGAGGATATATTAGATGCAGTTCATGGATTTCAGCTCTGCTGGAATTTATCAACCACTGTCACAGCCATGGCTACAACTTACAGAGATCCAACCACTGAATATACAAAAAGAATAAGCTCATCAAGTTACCATGTGGGAGACAAAGAAATCCCAACTACGGCAGGCATATCAGTTACTACTGAGGAACATTTTCCTGAACCAGACAATGCCATCTTCACTCAGAGGGTAATTACAGGAACAATGGCTTTATTGTTTTCTTTCTTTTTTATTATTTTTATAGTGTTCATCTCCAGGAAGTGCTGCCCTCCCACTTTAAGAAGAATTAGGCAGTGCTCAATGATTCAGAACCACAGGCAGCTCCGATCCCAAACACGACTCCATATGTCAAACATGTCAGACCAAGGACCATATAATGAATATGAACCCACCCACGAAGGACCCTTTATCATCATTAATGGTTATGGACAGTGCAAGTGTCAGCAGCTGCCATACAAAGAATGTGAAGTATAATATCTACCCATCATCAAAATTACATCAGATAAGTAACCTATTTTACATAGTAGGGGCTAAATAAATATCTAATTTTTAACAATGGTGACATTAAGCCTAATTTTCAAAACCAAGTGGAGACTTAAGTTTTCGAAGTATTGAAGTGTTTTTAATTTTTTTAATGAAATCATATTTTAAGTGTGAAATGAAGCAATGCTCACATTAATTTGCACTCTTGCTGGAAAGTCTAAAAATGCTTACTTCAAAATATGACATTTCATGTATGTGATTGTGTACTATTGAGTGTAAACATTTACACTAAAGTCTCCATATGCTATTTTTTCCTACTGAGAACGGTTTGGAGAGAAGCTACTGAGCAGAAAAAGATACGGATCAGTACTTGTGTGATCACTGCTTTCCATCCTAAGTACCACCACTGGCTTGCTGCTTAAAAGGAGACTTAGCAAAGTTCTCTTGTATGATAATTTGGTATTTACTCAAATCTACAATTTACTGCCAGTGTGGGAAGTATAATTTCATGTATGCTGAAGTCTGGTAAATATTAAATACTCTTCTTCCAGAGTTTTTGCCTGGGTTAATAGATATTATCAAAGTCCACATCATAAAATCAAATCCTTTATGTAATTATAATAAGCTAAGTGACTCCTTAATACATTTGAACAATGAATCCAAGTGATTGTGAAAAGGTCTCATTACAATGAAATCAATACCAAGTAATTATAATGACTTTGCATCATACATCTCTAGTTTGCCATGATTAACATGCTGATTTTTATAGCATTTAGAAAATTGTTTTAAACTAGTATTACATTACCATTTCACTGATCAGTTTACTAAAGCCTATATTTACATTTATATGTGAGAAAGATTTAAAAATTAGTTTGGAGAGAAAAGAGAGCAACTGAGTCAACTCAACCCTATGACTTGCTCCCTCTAGTCTGAAAGCACACATGAAATGCTCTCGCGCTCACTCGTGTGCGCGTTCTCTCTCTCTCTCTCTCTCTCAACTGTCATGATCAAAGCTGCCTTGAGAAAGGGGTTTTAAACCTCTTTTGCCTTTTCCTGACCCTCAAACCTCACAGCCAAGTCAAAATTAATTGGCTAGCAACAGGCATAACACTGATTCTTATTAGAATATATTATAAAGGAACCATTAAAAACCACTTTCTAAATATTATATACTAAAACCGGACCTTTTGATAAAGATATATATTCACACTATAAAAGCAATTCCTTCTAAGTGAAGGGAACAACATATCACTGAGGCAAACCTTTTTGTGGGAAAACAATCTATCTACATGCTTATGCAGCCACACAGTGGTAACTCAAAGGTGGCATGGAGGTGAGGGGATGAAAGGGAAAGGCAGCATTTTAAAATCTGACTCACAGAAACAGGTTAGCTGAAGTTAAGAGGCAGCCAAGAGTGAGGCAAATGGGTAGCTGTACACTATCTACAGGTCAAGGCCCTAGGACCTGCAGCTGAAAAGGGGAGGAGGAGGAGGTTCTCTAGTGTTAATATAAACATTCCATAATTAACAAATGATAATGATGCCACACTTTTCATGTAGAAAAGAGCCATGGGTATTACATTTCTTCAATTAATGATTTCCATGGAAAAACTGTAACGTATTTTGAGTTCAGATGCAAGTTACCAATTCACGCAGAATTTTTCCAAAACAAAGTTCCGTGTATGTAGCAGAAAAAAAAAACAAACCACAAGACATTAGACCACTGACTTGATTTTAGAAAAATGAGGATTTTTAGAAATGACATTTACTGTATGTGAAAAAGAAAAGAACACGACCATAAAAGAAAAAAGTTATCGTTTCTTTAACATGACATTCTTCATTCAAGGCGGATTTTCTTCATTGGACTGAATTGGAAACCTGCTACAACTACAGTTTAACCATGAGGCTTAACTTTTGTTACTACTAAGAGAGGGGGTCTGTCTACATTTCAAAGAAAACGTGTCTCAGTAAAGAGCAGACACCATCACATTCTGTGGTAAAAATGTACACTCTAAATTTTTAAGGTGGGTAAATCAGTTTGGCAAAGTCTCAGCCCAGTAGAGTTTGGCTGATCTTGAGCAGTGAGCACTTCACCTCCTGTTGAACCAGACCCTGGGCCTGCCCAGGAAGGGACAAAAGCTGATTTTATGGCATAGAGCACAGCACACTGCTCCCCTACATAAGGGCTGGCTGGCTTTGAAATCCCCATTACAAATGAGAGTTCCACAAGGTAAAATTTACCCAACTCATTTATCAGGGAAGCCACGGCCATTTGTCAGAGAAAAGCTTTGTCACAACACAGCTGTGTTCTGAACACACAAGATTCCACTCGCCCTGAAGGACAGCAAAGGAGTATTTTTTATCATTTCAACAACATCAAATTTAACTGAAACTATGAAAACAAGGGTGAGAAGTACTGACTGGGAATCCCCACATTAGTACTAAAGATTACAGTTAGTAAAATGGACCCCCAATCAGCAAAACCCCTAATGAAAATAGAAAAGTAAATTGGAAACTCAAGCCATTTAGTCATTCAAGGGGAACAGTAGAGCCAAGGCCACCACAGCATAATTTCAAGGTAAAAAATAACTGATTTTTTTTGTCCTGCACTTTCTTGGTAATGTTCTCTGGGGAAAAAATGAGTAACAATGCCAAATAGCATGTTCCTTTTTCATTAAAGCGCAAACTTCCCTTTTAAATTGCCTATAGAGGACAGGGTTCCATTTAACTTTGGCCTTTTTGTGTTTTGGTCTCAGCACAGGTTTGAGGAGGAGACTGTCGATCACATGTGCTCTTTCCCAACCCGCCAGGGTGAGAGCATGGCAGCCACACTGCAGACCCTGCTAAGGAGATGTCAGGGCTCTTGGTTTTCAGTTTTGTTGTATCCTCCTCAGCCTCCTCTCCCAACACACCCAGTCCCCAGGCCCCACCTAAGGTTAGAGGAAAATGACCACTTACCAAGAACCAGAAAAACAATAAAATCTCTCTGGAAAAAGGAAAGCTAAAGAAGGTTATGATACTGCACCCAGCTAGTAACCAAAACTAGTTTGGAATCATTTGTATTCATTTCTGCAGTTTGCCAGGGATTCAATCACCTCTCTAAAATGAGAGTGGGCTGATACATTTGCAAATCCACACACAACTCAGACAGAATACCCACTGCCAACATCAAATAGCAAAGATACTAATTTTTTAAGCCAAAAATCTGCTCTAACACATGTAATTTCTTAATGTGCCTAAGTTCTGTACCAATTTAATGAATGGAATTGACTGAACTTTCCAAACTCCACTAATTATTAAAATCCACCTGCTTATTCTGATGCTAGTCACCAAGAGCTAGACGCCATCTTTCCAATAAAAATGAGCCCCATGTAGCACTAGGTCTGAATCCTAAAATTGAAAAAAGACAGTTTCTTAAGGCATACTTCCTATACAGAGCTATGGGGGGAGGATATAAATACCCCATTCTCCCTCTACATTGTGGATATCAATATGATATTTGAAAAAATATTTTTAGAAGCTGACTTACATGAACATTTTCCTAATACAGCAATACAGTGACAGACCTGTCTCAAAAATCTTTTGAGATATGCTTTTCGTATCTTATTGGTTAAAGTGCTTCAACCAGAAAAATACAATGGTGATAAGGCCATCCATAGATACTTAAATATTTCTGTCCCTAAGCTAGGGAAAACTTGAATAATTTAAGGCAAAAACAAACAGAAAATGATAGTTTAAGCTTTCATACTGTCATTGCAAACATCTGGAAACACCTGCTACTCCTTCAACCTACCTGTTCTTCCTTGGTAATTAAAAGAAAAGTTTCATCTATGGAATGTTTGTTTACCCTTTCTATCCACACAGACTGGAAACCAAAAGTACAGTCCAAACACATTGTGTTCAATCACCTTAAGAGCCATTGGGGGGTGGAGTGGGGGGGACAAATGGGTTGGGAGGAGTGGGAAGAAAATACTATTACACTGGGGTTCTAGGGGGAGATGGTGAACAAAGTGCAGTGTACAGGAAAGTTTTGTTATTAAAAGCGTGTATACTGAAAAAAGTGAATGTCTTTTTTTTTTTTTTTTAGCTTTTCTGGGTAACCTATTTTGATATGTGAAACCTAAAAAACCATTTGTGACAGATACAGAAACCTTAAATGAACAGCTGTTTTGTACCACATTCTCTATAATGTCAAATGTGCCAGTTGGAAAAAGGACAGCTAATCATCACCTATCTTCATGCAGAGACAGGCAAAACTAGTAGGTTAAGAAGAAAGGAAAAGTAAGGGGAGCCAAGGGGAGCTAAAAAGCCACCATGCCAACTTGTTCCGTCACAAGCCTTAGCAAGTGGACATCAGCTGTCCATGGGGCTCACAGGGCCTAGGGTTGGTCACTGTTCCCCAACTTCCCTAATAGTAGACTGTTGCCACAGCCTGGGGAGCTTTAAAAAAGCACTCAATTGCCTATCCCCAGCAAACAGCAACTTGGCTTTCACCTTGGGGGTCCACTGGGGTACATCTCAGCAGCACCTTGCACACCACTCCTGAGAGGGAGGACCATAGGTGCTAAACGTCTGGGTCCCTACATGGCCAACTCTACACCAGATGCCAGCTCACTAAGTATGGACAGGGGAAAGGAAGGCAAGATTTTTAACTACTGTCCCTCAACTGGCATAGGTAAACACCCCCAGAACAGGATGCTATGCCTGGGCAGCAGTGGGGGGCAAAAACTGCTGTGGCCTTTAGGAGGTGACTGTCAGGAATCTGCCATACTTTCCAGAACGCACCTATTGCTTCTCCAGGCCTAGAACACTGAAGAGAACCAAATACACAGGAAGAAACAAGGTTGCCCACTTCTCCAACAGCCAGGGAAAAGGAAATCAGAGAAGCAAAGAGAGCTCTCTCACCAAAAATCTCAGCAGTAACTAGGGCAAAGGCAGGAAGCAAGGAATAAAATTTTACTGTCAAACTCACCCAGTATGCACTAGAGGGCATAGGTGATGGTGGTTTCAAGCTGTACAAAAGAACGAATTCCTACACTTACCAAGTTAAAAGCAGAGCTTATTAACATAATTCTCATACATTTTAACTTTGAAAAATCCCATGTAAAGCTACATTTGGTTTCTTTATCAGTTATTTTAATTAGTTTTGCCTGTATGCCACAGCATTCTCAGGTTCCCACTCAAATTTATAATAGATTTCTTCAATGTCTATTGAATGAGATTTTTTTCTTTCTTTAAATATATCCAACCAGCTGGGTACTCAAGTCTCCCTTAGAGAGACAAAATGTACTACAAATTGTCTTTCACAAAGAGAGAAGGGAAAGAGAGGTGAAAATCATAGCTATTCCAAACATCTTGCCTTAGCATGAGTTCCTCCTCATTAGCCAATATTTTGGGAACGCTCTTGACAGACAGTTGTTGAGCTTCCCTTCCCCTACAGAAAGGAGACATTAAAGAGCGAGAAATCTCCAATAGCAAGTGCAATGGGGTACCCTATCCCACAAAGCTCACAACTAAAATACACCATCCCTTTACACACAGAGGCCCGAGAGCACAGCCTAATTCATGGCCTCCAACTCAGGATGTCCTGCTAGAAACCAAACATGAAGGAGCATCTGTGAACAACCAGACAGCAGGTCCAATGGCTCAACCAATACCCAAAGAGAGAAGGACTAAATTTTAAAACAGCAGCCCCAGAAACAATTTCCAAGGCCTTTTCACAACTTTCATTAATAGACTTCATAAAAAAACACAGTGCAGAAATGTAAAAATGTCATAACTTTACTGAATATTATTCACATTTGTGTTTAGCGCACAAGAACACAGGCACACAACCTCCAGGTTTCTTTTTCTGGAAAATCATTCGACAAAAACACTATAGCCATTTATATTAGCTCACCGGTTTCATCATCATGAGAACCAGAAAAGTTCCTCTTGTATAAATAAAAACATTTCCCATGGCCTAGGCTGCCAATTACATACAGGGCAACCGCTCAGCTGCTAAAACCCCTGAAAACAATGTATCATTTACATATAACCTATCTCTTTAAAGCCAAGTAAACTTAGTATAATATATTCATAAGTACAGAATGGCTGAATGTAAAAAGATCAAAAGCAGAGATTCTTAACTCTAAGGGTCTGGAATGTTTCACAGCATATAGGAACCTCCTGAAATTATAATACAAATATTGTGAGTCTAGAGATTTCACCAGATCCTAAGGTTTTGTTTTGTTTTGTTTTAATCCTCACCTGAGGACATTTTTGTCCCACTGCTTTTAGAGAGAGAGGAAGGAAGAGAGAGAAACAGAGGGGAGAGAGAAGCATCGATTAGTTGCCTCCATAAATTCATGGACCAGGGAATAGGCACCTGGACCAGGGATCATAAGCGTCCAGACCGGGTGCCACCCGTACCCACACCTAAACCAAGGATTGAACTCACAACATAGGTATGTGCCCTGACCAGGAATTGAACCCACAACCTTTCAGTTATAGGACAAAGCCCTAACCAACTAAGCCACACAGGCCGATCCTAAGGGTTTTGATAACTCACAAAAAAGCCCTGGTAGAACAATGAAAAAGTTGTTTCTAGTACATACTAATTTGGCCTTCATCTTCCTGGTGACCAAGGCAAAGAACAGAATCAACAGTTTTCATCTATCCAAGAAGCAAACTGGCTTCTTTTGGGGGGAAGACACTTCCTTCATCTGATGAAGGGAACACACTAATTTAATTGGGGGGGGCAACACTTAGGTGCAGAAGTCTATGAATTATTTGTAATATAGAGCCAGCTATAGGAACAATAAGGAAACATGTCGGACAGTATCTTCAAGAAGGTTTTAGAGAACAGACTTGTTCTTCATGTCAGCCCTTGAAAAAGCTAAGGATGGGGAGCCTACACAAGCATGTTGCATGCTTTGTTGTGATCTAACCTTTGTGGTGACCCAAAGCTGGAGCCTATAAAGTAAGCAAGAATGGACATGTACCTACTTAGAAGAGCAGTTCTTACTTCTAGTCAAGATGGCCGCATAGGCAGACATGGCTCCCCTCTTTGCACAATCACATCAAAATTACAACTAAAATATAGAACCATTACTCAGAACTGTCAGAAAACGAACTGTATGGAAGTCTGACAACTACAGAATTAAAGAAACCACATCCATCCAGACTGGTAGGAGGGGTGCAGACGGCTACAGGCTGGTCCCTCACCCACATGCAGTGGAAAAAATTTCAGAAGGAATATCTCAGGAGCAAGGAGTCCCAGCCCCATACCAGGCCCCCAGCCCAGGATTCCAGCACCAGGAATATAAGTCCCCACAACTTTTGGCTGCAAAAATCAGCAGAGATTGAGTCAGGGGAAGAAATCACTGCAGCCCCAAGCAGCTCCTCTTAAAGAACCCACACACGGGCTCACCTACTCAGACTTATTCTCTCTGAACTCCAGCATCCAGGGAGCAGCTTTAAAGTCTCCAGTGGTATGCAGGGAGAAACTGAAGTGTCTAGCATTAAGGCAAGTGGGCCACTGTCCCTTTGCTAAACCTTCCCTGCACAGAGCCAGTAAGCTGCTGCCCTATCTAGAGACTCCATCAACCTTGTTACCACTGTTGTACCCACCTTGGAAATCCCCGGAGACTCCACCCCATCCAACTTAATGGCCCACCCAAGCTGCTTTTCCGTGTGAAGAGCTGGTCCTGGCTTATGCTTCACAACTTCCTAAATTCTATCAAACAAGCAACAGCTGGCCTCAGTGAGCCCCAGGCCCAACACCAGCAGCAGCCAGCCTAGATTCACAGCTTGGCTTCACCTGGGAATCTCCAGGCCCAGCACAAGTAGCATCAGTCTCAGATTGTTTCATAGCTCAGGCAGGATGCCCCAGACAAAACACAGGTGAGAGCTGAACTTGGCCAGCACTACCCGGGAAACTCCAGGGCCAACCCACCCAGTGGACTGCTACAGATCATGTCAGAGCACCACCACTTTGCCCCTGCACAGCTGACCCTTCACAGAGGGCCAAAGTTGGTGGTCAGTGGTCACAGTCAGTCCTTGTAGCTGACTGGCCTAGGTAAACCCTTCCCACTGATCTGCCAACTGCAATCAAGGTTCAACTACAAGAGGAGGGGGTACTCACTCCCATGAAGGGCAATTCCCGAGAACCCAGCTTGGATAATAGGGGAGGCTGTGTCCTGGACCATACAGGACATCTACCACAGGACAGTAGGCCCCACTATGAATACATGGAGTCAAAGCAGCTCTACTTAATACATATAAACAAGCACAGGGAGGCTGCCAAAACGAGGAGATAAAGAAACATGGCCCAAATGAAAGAACAGATAAAACTCAAGAAAAAGAGCTAAATGAAATGGAGATAGGCAATCTATCAGATTCAGAGTTTAAAACACTGGTTATAAGGATGCTCAAGGAATTTAGTGAGGAGGACCTCAAAAGCATAAACAAGATTCAGTCAGAAACAAAGGGTACAGTAATTGAAATAAAGAATAATTCACAGGGAAACAACAGTAGAGTGAATAAAGATGTGATCAAATCAATGATCTAGAACATAAGGAACCAAAAAATAACCGATCAGAACAAGAAAAAAGAATCCAAAAAAATGAGGATAGTATAAGCAGCCTTTGTGACAACTCCAAGAGATCCAACATTCCATCACAGGGGTGCCAGAAGGTGAAGAGAAAGAGCGAGAAATTGTAAATCTATTTGGAAAAAGTGTGAAAGAAAACTTCCCTAATTTGATGAAAGAAATAGACCTGCAAGTTCAGGAAGCACAGAGAGCCTCAAACAAGATGGATGCAAAGGGAGCACTCTAAGACACATAATTAAAACACCAAAGGTTAAAGATAAAGAGAGATTCTTAAAAGCAGCAAGAAAAATTAATTACCTACAGGGGAGTTCCCATAAGCT